GTGTAGAACTAAAAATAAAATTAAATGTCAAAAAATTATATCCAAAGTTTTATAAAATAAATGGGGAAAATTTTATTTTAATTTATTAAATGATCGATGAAAATATACAAAGAGGGTAGAGTCAATTTGACATATGAATAGTAGGTAGAGAAGCTAATTTGAGGAGACACAATGTGACGTAGGAAGTAGCTCATAGTTGGTTGAGGTTTGTTTTAAATGTTTGCCTACATATTTTATACTCCCTCCGTCCCAAATTATTTGTCACATTTCTATTATCGAGGCAAAATATCAAGTTTTTTCAATTCATTTTATTTACATATTGGTAAAGAAATAAAAAATAAAAATTACATATCAAAAAACTACATGAAAAGTTCTTCGAAATAAGAGGTGTCAAGAATATTTTATTTTATCAAATAACCAATGAAAACGTAGAAATAAACAAAAGTTCCCGCGACTGTTGAAAAAGCAAATGTGGCAAATAATTTGGGACGGAGGGTGTAAGTTTGNTTTCTATTATCGAGGCAAAATATCAAGTTTTTTCAATTCATTTTATTTACATATTGGTAAAGAAATAAAAAATAAAAATTACATATCAAAAAACTACATGAAAAGTTCTTCGAAATAAGAGGTGTCAAGAATATTTTATTTTATCAAATAACCAATGAAAACGTAGAAATAAACAAAAGTTCCCGCGACTGTTGAAAAAGCAAATGTGGCAAATAATTTGGGACGGAGGGTGTAAGTTTGTTTGTGGCATCACTCGAGAAAAATAAGTTGTTTGACGCAAGTATGATAGCCATCCTTCAATTATTTGGTAATTCCCTAATTATCATATGACCAATTTCTAGCTAGTCTAGATGAGTTCAAAAAACAAAAATTCTAGTCTAGTTTAGATAATTAAATAAATGCCTCCGACAGTGGCGGATCCAGATTCTCAAATGAACGGTGTCAAGAGTAAAGGGGCCAGGACTTCTCAAGCGGATTGTGTGGGCATGTGACGAGAGTTCGGAGGCAGCGTCTCAATATTTCTTTTACAAACACAATAAGAAATAACAAAAAAATCAAACTAATAAATTTTATCTTTAACGTTTAAATAATTAAAGTAACATAATTAAATGACATTATAATTAATTATAAAAATGATAAAAAATAATAGCAGTAGAAAATATTGAATTTAATGCACGTTGTAGTGGTAAATAACTATTTTTTTTAAACACAATAAGAAATAACAAAAAAATATGGAGTAATAAATTTTCATCAAATTAAACATTCAAATGATTCCAAATAACACAATTATGGGGTATAAAGTATTATTATTAATTATATAAAAAAATTTGTCAATACCTAATAGTGTTTTTAAAAAAATTCAGTGGTGTCGGTTGACACCACCGAACCCCCTAGCTAGGTCCGCCCCTGTGCCTCGACACCAAGGGTATATCATTTCTAGTTTCAAAAAAACAAAAAAACTGAGTAATATAAATATATATAATAATCATTCTATCTCTATTTAATTTTCTTATTTTGATTTTTTCTCATTTTTAAGGGAAGTTAACCATGGGTGGATTTGTCCAAAATACTCTTACTAAAAGGTAGAAGTAGGTGAGTTGTTGAAAATTTTAATGAAGAGGATGCTATATATAGAGTAGAAGAAATGAAAAGATTAAATCCTGAAAGAGAAAAAAAATAAGAGACGGGAATATTTAATCGGACAAAGGGAATAGCACATTTGTGTTTGATGATTTTCTTTCATCTCCAATAATGGAGCCAAGGATTCATTATTTTTAGGTATGGGGTATGATAGAATAAAGTAAAATATCTCTTCAAATTATTTGTGTTTGTTTTAATTATTAAGTGGAAGTTTGTCAATGCAACTTTCGATACTCATTATTGTTAGTTCCAAGGTGTTGGCTAATCTTTTGGCAAAATAGAATCCCATATTTGTTAGATGTTTTACTAGGCAGAAACCTCTATTTGTTAGGAGAGGTTTATTTTATTTAGACTTCTAGAGCTGCTGCAGTTTTTGAGGTTGACGCAGACGATGCTACAGCACGATGCTGCAACACACAGTTCGGGATCAGAGGTCTGAGCACGGGATTTTAAGCTGCAATCTGAGTTAGAGACCTATTGGGATTGTGATTACATGATAAGAACTCCAGCTGTACTTGTGAAGGAATCCCAACTCTTTAGGCTACTTGTGGATCAAGATTAAGGAAGTAGAGTTCAAGCCAACTTCTACTATCCTATTCCTACTAGGATTGTGTTAAGAGAGGCCTTTAAATACGCAGCAGGTCCCTGGGAATTACTTGGAGCGATTGAGAGGGAAAATACAGAATATACGCTGATGTAGAGCGTTCCCGTCGCGTCCCGGAGCTTCCCATGCGTGGAGAAGGTCACGATCTACACGAAGGAGGAGTCCTACAACGCCAAACAGATCGTGGCATCCAGAAGATGAACAAGAGCTGAACGAGTGGGCTGCCAACACGTTTGTCCTCGTGATCTCGGTGGAGATGTGATAGCCGAAGCGGATCTGAACAGAGTTCGGGTTAGAAATCCTAGATTAGAAGTTTTGTTATAGCAATTCGGAGAAGAGTGTCTCATCATGTTGTTATGTACCGGTGTAACTTGCATCTAGTGATTTAGTGGAGGGCTATTACACGGACGTTAAACATATCTGGTGTTATTTTTTACGCTTTTTACATTTACAACAATCTGCCCAGTAAACGCTGTAACGTCCTCTGCGTCATCTGCTTCTGTGTGTGCTTGTGACAGAGAAGTGTTATAGCACACTGTCCGTCATCTGTTACTAGACAGTGCTGCAGCGTCTTCTCTGCAGCATAGTTGGTTGATTTGTTTGCATAGCTCTTAATTGGTGATTTCCGCTGCGCCCCCACGAACTTACAATTGGTATCAGAGCGGTTGAGCTTAAGTTATTAGCTTGATCTTTGGGTGGTTCGTTGCAAACAATCATGGTGATCTCTTAAAGAGTTAGCGCACTTGATGAAGCAAGATGTGGTTACGATGCATATCTTGAGGGGGAGTAAATTACAGAAAAGGATGAAGCTCCAGCAGATTCAAATGGGAAGTACGTGCATGGGTCGTAATGGTAGATATTTTTTTGTTTTGCGCTTGTGATTGTTGTATGCTCTTAAAAGAACTTGGTATTACTTTTCTTTTTTACCCTTAATGAGATTGGCATATTTTGTGTCAAAAAGGGGGAGAAAAGGCTTAGTTCTTAAAAGATGCTCTAATTTTTATGCGCATGATGCACGATGTATTTTACCAAAAAATTGCCAAAGGAGGAGATTGTTGGTTCCATGGTGTTGGCTAATCTTTTGGCAAAATAGAATCCCATATTTGTTAGATGTTTTACTAGGTAGAAACCTCTATTTGTTAGGAGAGGTTTATTTTATTTAGACTTCTAGAGCTGCTGCAGTTTTTGAGGTTGACGCAGACGATGCTACAGCACGATGCTGCAACACACAGTTCGGGATCAGAGGTCTGAGCACGGGATTTTAAGATGCAATCTGATATAGAGACCTATTGGGACTGAGATTACATGATAATAACTCCAGCTGTGCATGCTAAGGAATCCCAACTCTTTAGGCTACTTGTGGATCAAGAATAAGGAAGTAGAGTTCAAGCCAACTTCTACTATCCTATTCCTACTAGGATTGTGTTGAGAGGAGCCTATAAATACGCAGCAGGTCCCTGGGAATTACTTGGAGCGATTGAGAGGGAAAATAGAGAATATACGCTGATGTAGAGCATTCCCGTCGCGTCCCGGAGCTTCTCTTGCGTGAAGAAAGTTACGATCTACTTCAAGAATGAGATCTTCAACGCCAAACCAGATCGTGACAACCAGGAGATGAACCAGAGCTTAAGGAGAGGGCTGCCAACATGTTTGTCCTCGTGATCTCGGTGGAGATGTGATAGCCGAAGCGGATCTAAACAGAGTTCGGGTTAGAAATTCTAGATTAGAAGTTTTGTCATAACAATTCGGAGAAGTGTGTCTCATCATGTTGTTATGTACCAGTGTAACTTGCATCTAGTGATTTAGTGGAGGGCTATTACACGGACGTGGGCCCCGCAGATTAGGAGAGTTTCTCCGAACTGCGTAAACATATCTGGTGTCATTTTTTACGCTTTTTACAGTTACAGCATTCGGCCCAGTAGGCGCTGTAACGCTCTCTGCGTCATCTGCTTCTGTGTGTGCTTGTGACAGTGAAGTGTTATAGCACACTGTCCGTCATCTATTACTGGACAGTGTTGCAGCGTCTTCTCTGTAGCATAACTGGTTGATTTGTTTGCATAGCTCTTAATTGGTGATTTCCGCTGCGCCCCCACGAACTTACAATTATGGGTTATTCGAAAATAGCCACTCCATGTTTTAAACATGGGTGAGGCAACATATATATGTAATTAATTACTTGTGATACTTGAGCAGTTGAATCGAGAGTCTCTTGGGAAACAGGCTCTGTACTTTTGAGTAAGGGGTAAGATTTGCGTACACACCCTCCCAAAATCCTACTTTTATAGGATTCAACTGGATTGTTTTTATCCTTGTATTTGCGTTTAATGAAATCAATTTAAATTTTTTTAATACACTTCCCATATACTTTAATGTTATTGACACATGACAATTAAAGTTCGTCGTCTAATGTAATTAAAAAATTTAAACTAGATGAGCATTTGATCAAGACTCAAATATTGTGCCCCAAAGTATATCTCAAATGTTCGCAGTTACTAGATTACATTGACACAAAATATGAGTGCAATCGTAAGATTTTGAGATGTTATTTTTGTGTCAAGTCATCAACCTCACCCTTATATTACCACAAAACAAAATATAAGTGTAAACCTTTGAGATACATTTTGGAGTACGTACAACTTTCGGTGGAGGGAGAAGTAGATTTTTTCAAATTATTTATCTTTGATATCTTCTACTTCAAGTTCAATAACACATGCAGTTTATAATATGGCGGTTGCATGCATACATGCAGGACAATGAGAAGAAGAACATATTGGCGGTCCAAACACTGCGGAACTCAATAATGGGATCAACCCTAATGGCCACCACCTCCATCCTCCTCTCCTGCGGCCTCGCCGCCATCATAAGCAGCACCTACAGCATCAAAAAGCCTCTCAACGACGCCGTCTATGGGGCCCACGGGGAGTTCATGGTGGCCCTCAAGTACGTGGCCCTCCTCCTCGTCTTCGTCTCCTCCTTCGTCTGCCACTCCCTCTCCATCCGGTTCGCGAACCAGGTCAACTTCCTGGTCAACTGCCCGCCGGACCCCACCGGGATTGTGGGCCCGGGGTACGTGACGCGGTTGCTGGAGACGAGCTTTGCGCTGAATGCGGTGGGGAACCGGTTGTTCTACTCGGCGCTGCCCATGTTGTTGTGGATTTTCGGACCCGTGTTGGTCTTCTTGTGCTATCTCACCATGGTGCCTCTCTTTTACAACCTTGACTTTGTTTTCCACGTTGATAATAAGGGGATAAAGAAGGATGATCCATACAACAATAATGATCATATTCACAATCCAAATACCATAAACGATGTATAAATGTCCCTCCTCTTTCTACTTCTTCTTCATGGGTGTGTGAAAATAGTGGGATAGGATAATGGGATGATAATATACATTACCTGGTTATCTTGTTCTAAGAGTATCAGTCTAGTTTAACTTTTTTGAGTTAAACTAGCTAGACTTCGATCAGCATTTAAATAAAAATTGTACTCGATTCTACTATAGAAATGACTTCTTTACATTATCTTGCGGAAAAACTATCAGAAATTTATCTCGTATTAATTTATGCATTGCAAATCATTATATATATACATACATACATACATACATACATACATACATACATACATACATACATATATATATATACATATATATATATATATATATATATATATATATATATATATATATATTAAAAAATAAAAATTTACTACAATTGTAGTCAATTGCTCCTCTTTGGCTCCGCCACTGATTCATAATAAGATGGGAAACAAAAAAAATGAGCTTCATCTCCGAAACCTATAATTGATATTTGCACAAGCTCTATGTTTAGTATAATTATCTCTCAACGCAGTTATCAAAAATTGAACTTGGATTTACCTTCTTTGACACTCCTTGCTCAACCAGTTGAGTTGGGAAACAAACGTAAAGGTTGAAGCTAACCAGGACCCATGTTCAGACTTCATAGGTGAGCGAGTTATTTGGGCAAGAGTATGAGCAACCACGTTCACTCAATGAGAAATAGAGAATCTTTACCAAGCACCATTTGAATCCCAAATAATCCACTTGATGGAATCCCTAGTCTAGGTAAACCTAGATCATTGTAGAAGAAGAAGAAGAAGAAATGTATAGATGGTGAAGATTACGAGAGATCAGGGCTCTCTTAGTCTAGTAGGTGTAGTTCATGCCATCACTAAGTGTCGCGTTCGTTTATCTCTGTCTTATCAGAGTCTATGGTTGGACAGGATCACGATCATCACGCACATCGTGTCCAATTTTTTTAATTATTTGTATTAAAATCAAAATTAATGAAAATAAAAATATTAAATAAATATTTCATTAGCATTAAAATTAAAATTACATTGACATAATGCAATAAGAAATAGAAAAAATAAAAACAATTCGAGATTATTTTAAAAACAAAGTAATTAAAAATAATATACTCCCTCCGTCCTATAATGTTCTTCCCGCGGTCCTATTTACAAAGTTTGACCGACTTTATTTTCAATTCAATTTATTTGATTGTAGGTGTAAAATTAAAAAATAAAATTTATATGTTTAAAAAATACATCAAATGTTCTACAAAACAAGTGGTAACAAGACTATATTATAGGGCTGGGTCGGGAAAACCGAAAACCAAAAATCGAACCGAAATCGATCGAAACGAGCTAGAAAAAAAACCGAATCGAAAAAACCGAAACCGAATGTAAAAAAACCGAACCGAACCGTTATTGTTTGGTTCCGTTTTGGTTTTTACTTTGAAAAACCGAACCGAACCGAATAAACCGAAGTTATTTGTATGCTTCATTTTATTTATATGAGTATATGTGATATGTATAAAAATCATATAAACAAAAATGCAAATAAATTACTAGTCAAATAAAGTTTTTTTCTTAACTATTAATTAAACATTTTAACCATATTATAAACTTTAAAAAATCTAAGAATATAAACACCAATAACTAATCCTAATATAGAATTATATAACATTAAAAATTAAAATGAGTAGTTAACATATTTAAATAGAAAAAACTTTGATGTTATAATGAAAATGAAAGTATTATATAAAAAAATCCAATTCTCTGCAATTGATTTTACATACGATATCTTTAAGATTATTTAGAATCTTCTAGATGTTTGTTAGGCACTTGACACATATTTTGTATATAAAATTGAACCAATGAGAACACTAACCTTCCGCTGGGCTTTTTTTTTGTGTGTAAAAATCAAGCAAAAAAACCAAACCCAAACTTACGTATTGTTATTGCTTTGTCAAGTTAGTATTTATACAATTTTTAATGCTTATAAATATTTACTTTTATAAACCGAAAAAACCGAAAAAAACCAAGATAAAAACCGCAAAAAATCGAACCGAATAACCAACGGTTTATATAGTTTTCATGCAAAACCGAACCGAACCGAACCGCCAACTTACCTTCCGTTTTGTCTTTGGTTTTGGGTAAAAACCGAACCGCCAAAACCGAACCCACCCCTACTAGCTATATTATTTTATCAAATACCTAATGAAAGTAGGTAAAGAAAGTGATTAAAGTTTGACCGTGTGAAAACTAAGTGGGAAAAACATTTTAGGACGGAGGGAGTAGTAAACGATAAAAGTTGTAGGGGAAAGAAAAAGAAAAAAGAAAGAAAGATAGAAGAAAAATACTATGGTAAAACAAAAGAAAAAGGATAAAAAGAAAATACAAGAGGGAGAAGAAGATGTAGAAACGAAAGAGGAATAGAAACGGACTAGAAAAAAAATGAAAGGGAAAAGAGAAGAAAATTGTCGTGAATGACATGATGGCCATCACCTAGCTCCATCGTCCTCACGAGAGGGAGTGGTGTTCCCTCCTATCACGGACCGACGTGGCTGTCAAATCAGCCATCACGGATCATCTCCTCCCCCAAACCATATAGCCTTAGGTTTGAATCTTTTTCCCGTGAGCGCAAAAGAGTTATATATACAAGTGCAATGAAAAAATAAGTCTTTGTCCAAAAAATATAAAAGCATAAACAATGGCACGGTGTTGGGACGCAGCCGAACACGCACTACCACAAAAAAACAAAATGTAGTCCAAATATCCTCGGGCCCTTGGGCGAGCCGAGCTAACGCGCCAAGATAAATATATAAGACCATGCAAAAAGTTTTAAACAATAGAAAAAATTCGAAGAAACTAGAAAAAACTGAAAGAAAATGAATGAAATCAGAAGAATAATATTGTATAATCAGCTAAAACCGAGTTTTAAAAAAAACCGAGAGAAATATGGAATATAATTGTTGGACATTTGGTGTGTTGGACCGCATGCAGGCGGGAAGGGAGAACAATGGAATGTAATTTTCTTAACATTTCTTATCCTCATTCCTCACAATAGCAGTAATGGCAACCCATTTGGCTCGCACAATCCAATGGCGATGGTTGGAGTCAATTTCTCTTATTTGGATGAAGGAAAGTCGTTCATTTGGCTTTTCCTGTAAATTTCTCTCCTTTTCCTTTTTTATTTTTCCTGTAAATTCCTGGAAAATTTCACACAAATTAATTCCATTCCCAGAGAAAATTTCAAGGAAGAGACTGGGAGGAAGGAGTTCAATAAACCCCCATTTTCTTCCCCAGAAATCTGGACTAGCATTCGAGGATCAAAGGGTGAAATTGGTCTGGTTACATATATTTTTTCTGAGATTAAGGGTTTTGCAAGAATGCAGAGAAACCTATGATAAGGGAGAAAGAGGAGAAATGTGGGGCTCCATGCCAACAATGAATGTTCAGGCTGGGAAAGAGAGAAATAAGTTGGTAGCCGTGGCAATCGACAAAGACAGAGGAAGCCAAATGGCTCTAAAATGGTCCCTTGACAATCTCATTGCCAAAAACCAGACCATTGTCTTAGTCCATGTTAATCTTACCCAAAGTGATAATCTCTCTCTCTCTCTCTCTCTCTCTCTTGTGTATGTTTGTATTTGTTATTAATTTTATAAGCATATACAATGTTTGGTGAATGATAAGAGTTGTTTGATCAAATCTAATGAGATCTTATAAATAAATTGCACAAGTGTTTAGGGCATCATGCAATATCCTAGATGATTTTTCTTTTATGTAAAGAAAAAAGTTAATTACACATTACATTGTTGGTGTAGGACCAAACCAGGATCACGGCGTGTACGACGAAAATGGATTGACAAGTAGAGAAATGGATCCGCAGTCAAAAGACCTGTTTCTTCCCTTCCGTGTCTACTGTACGCGCAAAGATGTCAGTTCTTTTGCATTGACCTGCTCTGTTTAAAGCATATCTATATATATGAGTACGATTTTCGCATAAATCATAGTAATATGCAGGTAAGATGTCATGAAGTTTTGTTAGAGGATTTAGACCCTGTTAAGGCAATTGTTGAATATGTAAACCGCGTAGGAGTCGAGATATTGATTCTTGGTGCTGCTGCTAAAGGCGGTCTTCTCAGGTATTTATGCATTTTCATAGTGAATTCAGCCTTCAACTCTTACAATCCATATGTTACAGTAAGACTGTATGATTTGAGTCCATATGTATATACACACAGAAACATGTTCACAAGTGTTCTAATTTCAGTTTCCTTTTTGTCTTGAAGATTCAAAGCAAAAGATATTCCTGGAAATGTGTTGAAGGGGGTACCTGATTTCTGCACTGTATATGTGATCTCAAAAACTGGAAAGATATCTTCTACCCGATCTGCTTCTCGTCCGGTCCCATTCACCCATCCTCTCCGTCACCAGCTGGATTCCACCAAACCAAATGCAGCAGGGACTCTGTTTCCTTCAAAAAGTTCGTCTTTTTTTTTGCAGAAACTTTATCGATTCTTCAACTGTTCTTCCATTCTACAATAGAAGAGTTAGCATATGCTTATCCTTAGTTTCTGCAGCTGTTGAACTTCCTGGAGATTCAAGATCAATATCCGAACCATCTTCAGCCAGGTCAAAGAATGATATAAAGTAAGTCAGAGTTTGGAATCAGATTTCAAGATCATATAAGTAGTTTTGGATTCCAAGGGCCTGATTGGAAGACAATATTTGCAACAGGTCTCCTTTCACTCACAGGAGAGCACCAAATGGGAAACCATATGAACTCTCAAGACCGGATAATGACATATCCTTTGTGAGTTCTGGTAGGGCGAGTGTTGACAGTTGTTTCCCTTCGTACAATGACAGCTTTGAAGACGGTCCTACCCCTCCCCGGCTCTCGGGCTTCTCAGAATTTGAGACTAATAGTTTTGAATCCTCCAACTTTGGTCGGAGATCGGTGGACTTGTCACCTTCTGAGCTATCATTTGTTTCAATGGACAGTGATAGAATGTCTATATCAGGAATGGTAAGGGCACAATGACAAATATTTTGCCTACTTATATCCCAACACATACCATTTTAGAACTAAACTGCTCAAAATCATCTGCATCTTCCCCAGAGGTATGACTTTCATACAGTTGAAATGTAATACGAATGTATTTGGGATCATTTAAGCTAGTTCTTCATAAGCTATATACTTGTATGTGAAAACCACATGTAACTGTTTGGACTGTTATAGGGGTTAGAATGGTGAAGGTTTTTCTGCTTCTGCGATTTCCTCTTATGCTCTCTGCTCTAAAAAAATGTCTTGTTCTGTTTAATTTCCAAAATCTCTAGAGCACAAAGCATTTTTGGTATATTTGTTTTAGATATATTATGATATTTATTCTGAAAATGTATGATTTTTTTAAATGTTCTATACTGTCAACAAAAATAGAACATATGTTCATTAATAATGAAGTCGAGAAGATCTTATTTCCAAATAAATTAAAATTCTATTATCTTTTTTGAGAAATTGAATATAAAACATGGCTGCCAATTTTTTCCTTGTTTCTTTTTAATTTTCAGAAAACTGAAAACAAAAACAGAAAACAAAACCATTACCAAACGGCATCTTGCGTTCAGAAGATTCTAACATATAGTTTGTGTGTGTGTTTGTGTGATTTGGCCTCAGGATGACGTCGAAGCAGAAATGAGAAGGCTAAAGCAGGAGCTTAAGCAAACAATGGAAATGTATAGTACAGCTTGTAAGGAAGCACTTAGTGCAAGACAAAAGGTATGTCAAAATCTCTTATTCCTTTACCTACAGCCATTGCAATAATATGCACATCATAACATTCTCCCACTCTGCAGGCAATGGAGCTCCAACGCTGGAAAATGGAAGAACAGAAAAGATTAGAAGAGGCGCGATTAGCTGAGGAAGCTGCATTAGCTCTTGCAGAGAAAGAAAAAGCCAAATCTAAGGTGGCCATAGAACATGCAGAGGCTGTTCGAAGGATTGCTGAATTAGAAGCCGAGAAGAGAATTAGTGCAGAAATGAGAGCTTTGAGAGAAGCAGATGAGAGGAGTACCGTGATGGGCCAAATGTCACATACATGCTTCAGATACAGGCGATACACCATTGAGGAGATTGAAGCAGCAACAGATAACTTCTCAAAATCTCTCATAATTGGAGAGGGTGGGTATGGGCCAGTTTATAAATGCTATATGGACCACACATCTGTTGCAGTTAAGGCCCTTCGTGCAGATGCAGCACATGGAAGACAACAGTTTCAGCAAGAGGCAAGAAAGCTGATATGTGCACACAAGCACACACACATATTTCTAAATATGCACAACAGAGAATATGGGCTAAGATTTTTCCAAACTAGGAGAGTAAAAAATATCTGCAAGCCCAAAATAGATGTGCTGACTCTATAGTACTTGATGACGTTGAAATCTTGACAATATGAAAGCTATGTTTTTAGATTTAGAATTCTTATATGGGAAACCACGTTGTATGAAGCATGAACAAACTTGTTTGACAGAGTAAATACCATTTTCATTGTCCTCACTTTTGGTCTTACAACTTACATAACTTTCAATTTTGGTACACAAGTTTTTGTCTATTACTTTTGGACCTTCCAAGCACATTTCTAAAAAAAAAGGTTGAAGTTTATTGGTTTAGTAGGGCGAAGCTTTGAACTTGGATTATTAAAAAAATGAAGCAAAATTTCAAAAGGTGCAGTAGGTTATATTTTATCGGTATAAAGTTGGCTGATATTGTTGTCGGGATACTAAGAAGTGTTGTATTTCCTTAGTGTGACCTCTTCTTATATTAGATGACAGTGTTAAATATGCTTATTGATTGATTCCAGGTTGAAGTGTTGAGCTGCATAAGGCATCCTAATATGGTGCTTCTTCTAGGAGCGTGCCCCGAATATGGTTGCTTAGTATATGAATACATGTCAAATGGAAGCTTAGAAGACCGCCTGTTTCAGACTGGTAAAACCCCACCACTCTCCTGGCAGCAGAGGTTTCGAATCGCAGCTGAAATTGGGACAGGGCTTCTGTTTCTGCACCAGACCAAACCAGAACCGATAGTGCACCGCGATTTAAAACCAGGAAACATACTGCTGGACCGGAATTTTGTGAGCAAGATCAGCGATGTTGGCTTGGCTAGATTGGTCCCTCATTCAGTGGCCGACACAGTTACCCAGTATAGAATGACATCAACTGCCGGAACTTTCTGTTACATTGATCCTGAATATCAGCAAACAGGAATGCTTGGCATAAAATCCGACGTGTATTCCTTGGGGATCATATTTCTACAGATACTCACAGCAAAACCACCAATGGGTTTGACTCACCTGGTTGAAAGGGCAATTGAGGCTGGCACCTTTGCTGAAATGCTTGATCCTGCAGTGACCAATTGGCCTGTCGAAGAGGCTTTGAGCCTTGCCAAGTTATCGTTAAAATGTGCTGAGCTTAGAAGGAAAGACAGACCGGATTTGGGGCAGGTAGTGATGCCTGAACTTGAGAAATTGAGAGCACTTGCTGAGGAAAACACGTTTCCCTCGTCTTTGTATTATCCTGGCTGCTCTCCAAACCATAGCCAAGTTTCTGTGTCTCAAGTAAGCCCATTCTTTATATGTGTATTTGTCAGTAGTTGTAACTCTTGTAAGCATCAATAAATTATGGCTATCGGTGGAATGAATTCTGATTCTTTTGGTAAGGTAGTTCTGGTGGGCATATGACCATAGCCATTTCATGGCTTAACAAATGGTTCTGCATTTTACAGGAAAATCTGAGCTACCCTACAACTGGTCATTCTGGATATGATAGCTACAGAAGTTCATCAAGCAATGGGTTGTAGCAAGTCAAAACTTGGAAGCAAAGCATGGAAAGCCATTTTATTTGCAAACTGTGCTTGATTTTTCCCTATTTCATTGCGTTAAACCCATCCCCCACCCCTATAATTATGTTTAGCATTAGGTGTTTTCGGGCATCGTCATATTTGTCATCCGTAAAGAGAAGGTACATAGGTTCAAAATGAACAAAAAAAAAGAAGTATGAATTTGTTATGGAGTATTTCTATTGTAAAATAGCCTGTAAAGAATTATTGTGGAAAGTTTTATCCATGAAATGTATTTTTGATCAATCCCTAGTGTTTTTTTTAACAGAAAAACACATCATTTATTACCAAATCCTTAGTTCAAAATTACAATATTAGCCAGCTCTCTTACTACTCTATATTGCTCTCCTAAATTTAAGATAACAATACAAGTAGGAATGAACAAAGTTAATAGTCTCCTCGAGTGCACATCCTCCCTGCATTGTTCTCTAGTTTGAGTTGTTTCGCATCCTCCATATGCCATAAGCACACGCTGCCCAGATTGCCATAAGTATTTTCCTTCTTTTCCCATTTCCTGTCTTAAGCAGATTCTCCAATTCCCCTCGGTTGGAAATCTGCACTTGATATTTGAACTTGGTATAGCTTTCTTTATACACCTCTTGTGCAACCCTACAGCCCCAGAATAAGTGTGTATCAGTTTCCACTTCTTCTTTGCACAACACACAGGTTGTATCTAACTGCATAAACCTACTCAATATCTCTTTTGTTTGTAGTCTCCCTCTCATCAGAAGCCATATGTTGTGTTGAATTTTTGGAGGAGTAAACTTGTTCCACACCAAGCTTACCCAATCTGGCTTGATTTTCTCCTTCTGTAGCTAGTGGTAGCCTTCTCCAGCTTTATATCTGTTAACCTGAAGCTAAGATTGCAGACGAACAAGAAGGAGAAAGAAGAATTCTTTATTGATTGATAATCGTCTCAAGTTTACAACAGGGGATGCGCAGCAGTATATATACATCTCTGTAGAAGGAAGAAAACCAACTAACTAACCACTTGATAACTAACTAACCAATTAACAGAAAGGATTAACTAATGCCTAGAAATATGCTGGACAGTTTATCCAGCTGGCAAGTGGGNTTTATATCTGTTAACCTGAAGCTAAGATTGCAGACGAACAAGAAGGAGAAAGAAGAATTCTTTATTGATTGATAATCGTCTCAAGTTTACAACAGGGGATGCGCAGCAGTATATATACATCTCTGTAGAAGGAAGAAAACCAACTAACTAACCACTTGATAACTAACTAACCAATTAACAGAAAGGATTAACTAATGCCTAGAAATATGCTGGACAGTTTATCCAGCTGGCAAGTGGGAACTCTCTACATCCCCCCCTCAAGGTGGACTGGGTGGTGAAGTCAACAGGCCCAACCTTGAAATGAGCTGATGATGTTGTGCTTCACCCAAAGGTTTTGTCAAGACATCAGCAAGTTGAAGTTTGGAAGGGACGAAAGCTGTTTGAAGAAAACCCTCAGAAATCTTGTCACGGGTGTAATGACAATCAATATTCAGATGCTTCGTCCTTTCATGGAAGACGGGATTGGCAGCAATATGTATCGCAGCTTTGTTATCACAAAAAAGAGTAATGGGCAGCTTTGGTGATACAGAAAGATCCCGTAAAACATAGCTTATCCACTCGAGCTCTGAAGTAGTGGCAGACATTGCCCGGTACTCTGCCTCAGCAGAAGATTTAGACACAGTTTTCTGCTTCTTTGTTTTCCAGGAGATGAGAGCTGTTCCCAAGAAAACACAATAGCCAGTTAAGGACTTGGATGTCATTTGACATGATGCCCAATCAGCATCACAAAAACTGTGAATACACAAGTCTGAAGTAGAGGAATAAAATAACCCCATGTTGACTGTTCCTTGCAGATACTTTAAGATATGATGTGCAGCTTTGAGATGTTCTGTTGTAGGGTGTTGGATAAACTGAGACAAATGTTGCACGGAATAGGACAGATCAGGCCGTGTCAACCCTAGGTAAAGTGATCTCCCCACAATTCTTCTGTATTTGGTAGGATCTTGTAGAGGAGTACCTGAAGTATAATTGAGCTTCAAGTTTCTGGGTAATGGGAAAGATGTAATTTCATGAGGGGGCACATCTGAATCTGCCAAGAGATCAACAATGTACTTCCTTTGATTGAGGAAAGTACCTACAGATGATCTGGAGATTTCCATTCCCAGAAAATATCTTGCCTCACCCAAATCCTTAATGGTAAACTTGGCATGTAGCTGCGCCTTAACTTGCGCAATCTGTTCTTCTGCTTCTCTAGTGATAAGCACATCATCAACATATACTAAAAGAGCTAGAAACTTCCCATGTAGGCAGCGAGTGAATAGGGAATAGTCATGTTTGGACTGTATAAACCCTAAGGACTTCAAGAACTTGGAGAGTTCAAGATTCCACTGCCTGGAAGCTTGCTTGAGCCCATACAAAGACTTTTTAAGCTTGCAATATAGTCCAGAGGCTTTATTCCCAGAGGTAAAGTAGTCAGCTCCCAGGTATGATTTTCTTCAAGGGCTATGAGTTCCTTCTTCATGGCATCTATCCATTCTAGGTGGTCTTTTGCCTGAGAATAATAATAAGGTGCTGGAGTGTTCATGACCCTCTCAAGTGAAGTTAGGAAAGCTGTTGAATGATATTTTAAATCAGCTGAGAACACTCCCTTAGTGGCAGCATGAAAGCTAAAGGACTGAGAAGAGCTGGTGGATTTTTGTGCCTTTGGCTTGGACAGAAGAAAGTCCCTCATCCATGACGGTGGAAGCTTTGTTCTTGTGGATTGTCTAGTAGGGTGTGGATAGGCTGCAATGGATGTTTCAGCAGAAGACCCTTGCTGATTATTCTGAGGTGAAGGGACTGCTGTGCTTTCTGACATTTGTTCAGGGAGAACAGTTGGTGTGGCAGCAGGTATAAGAGGATAATCATAGTTCTGGTTTGTGACAATAGGTAGTGGCACACTGAGACTTGGATTTTCAGGGATTGAACTACCCTCAGTCTGCTAATAAGGGAATATATCTTCTTGAAATAGCACATCCCTACTGTGAAATACCTTCTTGTTCTCCAGGTCATACAGACGATATCCTTTTTGTCCAAAAGGGTATCCCAAGAGAATGCATTTAATGCCCCTGTTTTCAAACTTGTCCTTCTCATGTAGATTTGCAGCAAAACATTGACACCCTATAACCCTTAGCTCCTCATATGATGGTTTCTTATTATATAACAGCTCAAATGGAGTTTTCCAATTTAACCTCTCCATTGGCATTTTGTTGATGATGTGTGTAGCTGCTAATATGCATTCACCCCAAAACATTTTAGGAAGGTGTGCCTGCAATCTAATAGCTCTTGCAGTATCCAAGAGGTGTCTGTATTTCCTCTCTACCACCCCATTTTGCTGTGGAGTTCTAACCATGGACCTTTGGTGAATAATACCTTTTTGTCCAAATATGTCAGAACAAGAGGCATTTATAAATTCAGTCCCATTATCTGATCTGATACATTTAACTTGTATCTTAAATTGGGTCTCGACCATGGACAAGAAATGAGATATAGTGGTTCTAACTTGTTCCTTTTGATATAAGAGCTGTGTCCAAGTATTCCTAGTATAATCATCAACTATTGTTAGGAAGTACTTAGCTCCAGTAACATTAGGTTGTCTATACGGACCCCACAAATCCATATGTACAAGCTAGAAAGGCACATTTGTAAAGGAAGCACTTTCATTAAAGCATAGTCTGTGAAACTTGGCTAACATACAAATGTCACATTTGAAACTGTTGTACACATAATCTCTACATTCAGAGATATGTCTCATTTTGGACAATGAACTATGACCCAATCGAGCATGTAAAAGATCAAATTTACAGGATTTTGCTGCCAACACTTGTGCATTCTGTCCACCTTGATCGGGATATTCAACCTTCAGCTTGTACAAGCCATTATTCCTGGACCCTATTAGAACTGGTTTGCTAGTTGAAAGGTCCTGAAACAGGCATTTATCAGAGAGGAAAACCATACGCAGATTATGTGCATCAATCAACTTGCTTACTGAGATTAGGTTGTATTTGAATTCAGGAACATGTAAGACCCCAGTTAGAACCAAATTAGATGTCAATATCACATTTCCTGCTTTACGCACTGTCTTGTGGGTACCGTCCCGCAATATAACCATAATGGGAGATTCAAGGTCATATATTTCAGAAAACACATGCGCAAAAGGAGTCATATGGTCAGATGCTCCTGTGTCTATTATCCAAGTAACTACACTTTGGCTTTCAGCACAACACACTTCAGTATCATGTAAATTTAAGACACTGGATGTCACTGAGGGATAATTACCTGCAAAATGTGCATATGAGTTGAATGGAGTTGTATCAGACACCTTGGAGGCTCCCTTTTCACCCATCATTTTCATCATCTCCTGAGCCAAGCTTTTAACAAAGGCTGCATTGACCTGGAATCCCTGTTCCTCATTTCTAGTATGCATATCATCCAATGGTGTATCTATGTATGTATTCTGAGTATGAGTCACTGTCTTTCCAGCAAACTTGGGTCCTCCATGTGTGTTCTGCATCTTTTTGTTTTTGGCTCCCTTAAACCAATCAGGATATCCCACCAGTTTGAAGCATTGATCCTTAATGTGACCACTCTCCTTGCAATAGTCACATCTCTTATTTCTCTTTGGATCATATTTGTTGTGATATCCTTGCTTCTGAACACCTCCCTTTCCAGCAAATAGAGCAGTATTTTGACATTCAGTGTTGTCATTATTTGCATAAGCTGCCATTTCTGTCCCAATGCTCTACACTCCTGTGATGTTCCTTTGTCTTTCAACCAGCTGGACCAGACTACAAGCTTTACTTGCAGTAGGAAGAGGTTCCATCAGCAATATCTGCCCCCTTGGAGTATCAAGGCTATCATTTAGCCCCATCAAAAACTTGATTAACTTTCTCCTTTGTTCAGCTTCAATTGCTTTCTTCTTGGCTCCACAAACGCATCCGCCACATTCACATGTTGGTGGATCATTGATGTTGCCCATTTCATCCCAGCATTTCTTCAGTTTTGTGAAATAGCTTCCAACAGATTCATTGTTCTGTTGAAGATCAGCAATCTTCTTCTCCAGTTGATAGATCAGACTTCAGAGGTCCGTTGCTCTGTCTGAACCTCTCTTCCAGCTCCTTCCACAATTCTGCAGAAGATGAAGCGTACAGAAAAGCTTCTGCAAGATCTGGTTGAATTGAATGAAGAATCCAACTGAACACCATATTATCACAGCGTTCCCACTGTGCAAGGTTTGGAGAATCAACATCCGGTTTCCTGCAAGTTCCGTCAATAAACCCTAATTTCATCTTCGAAATAAGGGAAATTCTGACGGATCGACTCCATAGAATGAAGTTCATCCCATTTAGCTTTGTCGCTGTGAGATTCATCCCCGGATGATCCGAATTGTGTAGGAAGAGTGGATCATGGTTGTAGGTTCGTTCTTCAGAGTCCGCCATGGCAATCTTCGAGCTCTCAAGATCGGAAAGATAGAAGGATCAGAAGGAGAAGGAATATCGCAGATTGAATCGATCGAAGACCTGGTAAAGCTCTGATACCATGTTAACCTGAAGCTAAGATTGCAGACGAACAAGAAGGAGAAAGAAGAATTCTTTATTGATTGATAATCGTCTCAAGTTTACAACAGGGGATGCGCAGCAGTATATATACATCTCTGTAGAAGGAAGAAAACCAACTAACTAACCACTTGATAACTAACTAACCAATTAACAGAAAGGATTAACTAATGCCTAGAAATATGCTGGACAGTTTATCCAGCTGGAAAGTGGGNTGATACCATGTTAACCTGAAGCTAAGATTGCAGACGAACAAGAAGGAGAAAGAAGAATTCTTTATTGATTGATAATCGTCTCAAGTTTACAACAGGGGATGCGCAGCAGTATATATACATCTCTGTAGAAGGAAGAAAACCAACTAACTAACCACTTGATAACTAACTAACCAATTAACAGAAAGGATTAACTAATGCCTAGAAATATGCTGGACAGTTTATCCAGCTGGAAAGTGGGAACTCTCTACAATATCCTTTAGCAGTAACTGGCATTTCTCTGAATTCATTCCTTACACTTATCATTTCCCTCCAGTAATGACAAGAGTCGGGTCTAGGTGTGTAGTTCCAGAAGTCTCTCCCCTTGATATATCTGCTATGTATCCATTTAACCCATAGGACCTCCTTATTGTCATCTATATCCCAATTCAGCCTCATAATTGAAGCTTTATTCCAGTTTGAGATGTTCTTAATCCCCAGACCTCCATGCTTCTTTTCCTGACAAACATCTTCCCATTTAACCAGGGGTATTTTCTTATAGTCATGGGTGCTTCCCGAGAGAAAGTTTCTACAAATAGCTGTTACCCTTTTGATGACTTGTTGAGGCAATATAAAAATTCATCCAGTCGCCAATTTGAATTCCTCCAGAGTTCTCATAATATAGGATACAGATTTCTCATCAGCCTTACTAACCACTATGAGATCATCAGCAAAGCATAAATTTATTATCCTCATATCTCTACACATTGGATGAAAAGCAAACTTATCTTTTAAACTATTCATCTGAAGACTTCTGGTCAAGTACTCCATGACCAAAACAAATAACAAAGGAGAGATAGGATCCCCTTGCCTTAAGCCCTTGGCCCCTTTGAAGTAACCATACTGCCCTCCATTCAAACTGATGGTATATGAGGGTGTAGTGATGCAAAACATAATCCAGTCAATGAAGATCTTAGGGAAGTTAAGGTGCAGCAAGATACCTTTTATTGCCTCCCAACTTACAGTATCATAAGCTTTTTGTATATCAAGTTTCATCATGCACCTAGGAGAGCTGTTCTTCCTTGTATATCCTTTAGCGAGTTCCTGGCACATTAATACATTATGAATGAGCTCTCTCCCTTGTATAAAGGCTCCCTGGTTTAAGCTCACCAAATGTGGTAGTACCTCCTTAAGCCTCGTACAGATGAGTTTAGATTTTAGAAATAATCTTATAGATTGTGTTACAACAAGCTATAGGTCTAAAATCTGCTGGACAAGTTGGGTTAGTCTTTTTGGGTATAATACTTAAGCTTGTGGTATTGATCTGGATCAGAGTTTTCCCTTCTTTAAAAAAATCAAGTACTGCTTTAGTAGTCAAGCTGCCTACAGCCTACCACATTCCACTGGTTCTTGAAGAAGCCACTATTGTATCCATCTGGGAATAGAGAATAGGGCCTCTTTAATCTGCTGAGGGCTGAAAGGTTGAATAAGTTTTAAGTTGCTGCTCTGTATTCAAGACATTGCCACTTTTAATGATGCTTTCATTCACTCCTGTTGTAGCTGTTTTTGTCCCCAACAGTCTAGTGAAGAATTGTTCAAATACTTTAGCTATCCTCTCAGTTCCTTCAATGATCTCACCCTTATCTGTGCTGATGTTCAGCAATTGGTTCTGTAGCCTTCTCTTCTTAATCCAAGCAAAGAAAATTTTGGAACCTTTGTCTCCCTCTGTCAGCCACTCCTGTTTACTTTGCTGCAGTTTCATACTGTGGGAATCCTTTATTACCTGTTGTAATCTCCTGGTAGTTGCTCTTTCCTTCTCAAATAATTCATTTGACAAAGGATAAATCTGCATCTCCTTCTGGATATCTAATAACTCCTCTCTAACATCATCCACCTTCTGATGAATACCTTTATATCTAGCTTGATGCAACCCCTTGAGTGGGTGTTTAAGTTTCTTTAGATTCTGTACCAATTGGAACATGTTCCTATCCGGGCCTTCTGTTTATATCTAGCTTGATGCAATCCCTAGTGTTAATACATAGAACTTTTGGCAAGTACCGAAGCAAATAGTGATGGAAGCCATACCCCTTGGCATACACTCCCTCTAGACCTTATCAAACTTTGGGCTAAGCCAGGCCAGGGCACTATATAACTGAAATTTTTAGGGCCCGAGCCCCAGCTCAGCCCGCATTACATGCCTATTCATTTTAATACAAAAATAATGTGACATAAGAAAAAAAATAAAAAGTGAAAAAAATTGGAAATGAAATATAATTTATCTTGAATAATTGATTTTAATTAAATGAAAGAATAGTGTAAAAAATTGTTTTGAATAAAAACATAAAATATTAACACCTTTCATTTTTTCTAATATTTTTCCAACTTATTCCAGTTTCTTTCAGCTCCTAGTATTTTTCAAGTACTTTCAATTTCTTCCAATATCCAGCTCTAATTTTCCAACTCAAAAGAACATGCTCTAACTACCACTTAACAAATACAAACAAAACAAAATACTTGCTCTCCTAAATAATAGGAAGAATAGAAAGAAAGAAATGGAAAAGACTACTATTTAAACTCTCTCGTTTTTGGAGGAAATACGATGAAGAAAACTAAAAGGATATTGTACGGTCCATTTGGTTGGGGGAAATATTTTTCTCAAAAATTTCAATTCTAATTTTCTACATTTAATAACATAAGTGGTATGGAAATATTTTAAAGAAACTGTTCTCAACAAGAGCGAAATGATTTTTGTTTGCTTTCGAAAAAAGTCTTCTCACTCTCCGACCCCACCCCCATGCACCTGCCACTCACCACCCCATTTTAGTCATGAGGTGCTACAAATCGGCGCTGCGGAAGAATGTTCTCAATCGTAGCTATGTGTGATGATCTCCTAGAAGGCTAGAATAAGGTTATTGAATGGGAAATATCTTTGATAAGAGAAACGAAAAATGATAGGAGCATATCATGTATGGGGAGGCAAACTAATATATAGTGTAATTAGATAGTGGTTACAACATGCTTATCATCACAGGAAATGCCATTAATTAGCTTTACAAATAAAAAATGATAGCAGTATCATGTTCGGAATTATAGACATCTTTGAATAAATTCTTGAAGGAAAGTACATCACTAAGCATCGGAATAATAGAATAAGAAGCCACGCTGTTAAGAAACAGAAATCTCTACTCAATGTGAAGTTTTATTGTGAAAGTTAAACTCTTGAACCATGTAGGCAACCTATTATAAAGTATCTTAAGTGATATCTTAATGAGGTGCACCACTGCACTAGAAACTTTTACTCTCCATCTATTCATCCAGCTAATAAAGAACCTCAATTTTAATCACCTCAACAACAACAAGAATTGAACCAAAACTGAAGAACCGACAAAACTGACATTTTTCAAGCTTAAAAACCAAACCGAAACCAAAATTTTGGTCAGTTCGATTTTTGAACATCAATTTGACGGTTGGTTTGGTTAAATATCTCACCCCAACTTAGATCCATTTAAGACCACTACATCAAAATCTCTAAGGTGGACGGAATTTTCATGATATCGAATTACCAAAGTACTTGATGAATGAAAGAATTTTTAATACTTCCTCTGTCCCAAAATGTTTTACACTTTACGCAAAACGAAGCGAATTTTCAATTTTTTTTATTCATTTTATTTAAAGATTGGGTTGGAAATTAAAATTAAAATTTACATATTTAAAAACTAAGTCAAAAGTTCTACAAAACTAGGGGTGTATACGAATCGAATCGAATCGAAGCATATATATATATATATCACTATTCGATTCGTATTCGATTAAAATGATATGTATTCGAATTCGGATTCGTATATAATTCGAATTTTAAAAAACATTCGTATTCGATTCGATAGATATTTGACGTATTTGAATTCGTATTCGAATTCGAAAATATTAGTAATTTTTTTTCTTAAAATAGATTTCTTAAAGATATTACGGAGTAAATTATTATTTTATAATAATGTAAAATGTAGTAAAAATATATTAGAATATATATAAATTTATTTATAAATTATAATATTTGAATTTATATAAATTTATATGTACACAAAAATTTAATATATTAAAATATGTTAAAATATGTACACAAATATTTAATATATTAGAATATATATAAATTTATTTATAAATTATAATATTCGAATAATTCGAATAATAAACGAATCGAATCTATTAATATTTGTATTCGAATTCGAATATAATTCGAATCTAAAATATGATTTGTATTCGGATTCAAATTCGAATATAGCGAATACGAATCATCTTTTTCGAATACGAATCACGAATCGAATGCATTTTATTTGATTTGTATGCACCCTTATACAAAACAGAAGAAGAAAAGAATACTTTATTCTCTCAAATAATCAATCAAAATGCACAAATAAACAAAACTTTCTGTAATTTTTGAATAGTGAAGAGTGTAATTCTTTATGGAAAAAAAATTGTAGGACAGAGAGTACAAATTTCAAACATGGTTGTAGCTACATTTTTAACTAAAGACATTCTTGTATACTACTCCGTACTATCACAATTTTGTCAAACTCCCAAATACAACTCAGTATCTAATATCCACATTTAATTGTATGGTTGTAAATGTGTTGGGCTTTGTGGAGGCTTGTTTGTCGGCCCGGTCTAATTGTGCGTAGCCTTAGCTATTTCCCTATATATAGAGGGCTTGTATTTGTAATCTTGCGACCACAAGTGAAATAAGAATATCCTCATGTTGCAGATGTGGATTAGGGAAATCGAACCACGTTAAATTCTTGTGTGTCGTTTGTGTTCGGTTTCTTTTGTTTCTCGCAGATTATTTGTGTGTGTTGTGTGTTTATTTCCCGACAGATTGTTCAACACCAGAGCACACGAATTTGTGAGAAAATTGTCATCTAGGTTCGCTGAGAATCCGTGGTCGCTGACGGGGGAAGCCGTTGAGGAGTCGCTGCTGTCCTGTAGTTCGACTGGAGATCTACGCGCAGCCCCGAACCACGGTCAGCCGCCGGGAGCAACGCCGACCAGATCGGGCAGGAGCAACAGGTTGTTGGTGCCGCCGCCCCGTCGAGCTCTCAGAGGAGATCCGCCGAGCCACCGCCGACGTCCAGTGTAGATAGCCGTCCAAATTGCGCCGCCGCCGTCGTAGTAGCCGCGCGCAGAGGAGATCCGCCGGACGCTAGGTTGAGGAGCTGCCGCGAAGCCGCGCCGTTTCAGATCGCGCCACCGCCGTCAAATCAGATCGCCGCCGCTGGAAAACTGAACGCGGCAGGAGCGAGAGAGATTCGCCGCTAGAGTGGAGATCTGAACCGCTTCGCTTTCGTCTTCGCGCAGTAGGCAGATCCGTCGCCCTCGTCCAGCGAGAGTCACCATCGCCGAGCCGCCGTCCATTTTGCCGCTGCTGTTGCCCAGTTTTTCCCCGCTGCGGTTTCTTGCGAAGAGGAAAAGAGAGAGGCAGTGGCTTTCTCCATTGGTTTGGGCCGTAATTTTTCTAAAGGGTGGACATTGGGCTGATTTGGTTTGGGCTAAATTTAATTAGTGTGGTGAGCCTGATTTTCTGATAAAAAAATACCAAGACCTGAAATATTTGTACCGGGTATCTTGTCTAGTCGTTTGATATGGCAGAAGATGGGAAGTTCCGAATTGAGAAGCTCGATGGTACAGATTTCAGCTGGTGGAAGATGCAAATTGAAGATTTGCTAGTTCAGAAAGATTTGGACGTGGTATTAGGTGACAAGCTAGAAAAGATGTCGGATGCAGATTGAGCAGGTTTGGATCAGAAAGCTATGTCCGTGATCCGTCTCTCGTTGACCAAGAATGTTGCGTTCAACATTCTGAAGGAGAAGACAGCGAAGGGAATCATGGAAGCATTGTCTAACATGTACGAGAAGCTATCTGCAGCTAACAAAGTTTTTTTGATCAGAGAGCTGGTGAACACAAAAATGAAAGAAGGCACTTCAGTTACCGAGCATATCAACAAGTTGAATTCGATCTTAGCCAGACTTTTGTCAGTGGGCATTAAGTTCGATGATGAAGTTCAAGCTTTACTACTACTATCGTCTTTACCTGATAGTTGGTCCGGAACGGTTACAACAGTTACCGGTTCAGTGGGACCCAATGGATTCACCTTTGATCAGATTCGAGATCTCGTTCTTCGCGAGGATGTCAGAAGAAAGAGTTCAGGAGAGTCTGGTGAATTGCTTCATGTTGGCAGAGGCGGAAGGATTAACAGAGGTAGTGGGAGCAAGAACAGACGAAGGAGTCAGTCAAAGACTCGAGATAGCTTATGTGTAACTAGTGGCGGAGCCAGAACAGAATTCATGGGGGGCACAATTTTATTTAAAAAAACAACAAAAGAATTATAGTAGTAACAACCTTAATTGACAAAGTGCAACTAAACATACATTTTATTTGCACAAAGGAGTAAGAGTTGTTTGAGGTCGTAGAAAATTTTTTCGAGATGCCAACTTTTGAAAGCGCTGCATAATAACTTCATCATCAATGCTTTTAAATTTTTTTTCTCAAAGTAGCACAACAGACAATCTGATAATAGCTCATCTCCCAAACGGTTGCGTAAATCAGTCTTGACAATATTTATCGCAGAAAAACTCCTTTCAACTAAAGCTGTCCCAACTGGTAATATCAATGCCAATTCTATAAGCCGATATACCAAAGGAAAATAAGTATGATAATTCATCTCCACCATCTTCTTTGCAAGACTTCCAAGATTGGAGATATTAGCAAAAACTTCATTCGACCTCATGTCAGAAATATAATTTTGAAGTTCATGAATAAGCTCAATTCGATCACTAGAACTGAAATCTTCTGAATACAATACAACAAGTTCTAATAGTCGATCTTGATCAAAACTCGCAAAGCAATTAGAAGGATCAAGACACATTACACATCTTAGTAAATTTGTGTTTGTCTCTGTGAAGTATCTATCCATTTCCGTTGCAAGAATATCAATGACCTAACATCAAATAAATAATAATAATAATAACTTAATTTCATTGCTTATGATATTAAAATACTTCCAAAAATCATATTAAAATTTAAAATTAATAAGAGTAATATACCTTTGCAAAGATCTCTTCACGAAAATGTACATAGTTTGTCATGAGTTGACTACCTTTCATCTTCTTTCTTGATCGCCCACTAAGAAAATCTTCCATGTTAGGCACATCAATTGCATGTTCTTCACCCTTCAATTGACTTTTTAAGAAACTTTGCAGAAGTCTCCTCAACATGAACTAATCCAAGAAAGCGTTCAATAATCTCCCCTTTATCATTCACAAATCTCAAAATTACTGACATTTGCTCTTTCACAGAGCAATATCGAGCTTCATCAATCAAAAGAGCAAAATTCTTTTTTCCTATCTCATTCAACATGACATTTCTCGTTTCCATTGCACAACTTTCAATAATATCTCTTTGAATGATAGGAGAGGTCATTTGATTATTTTTAGGAGCATTTATTTGCATGACTTTGTCGGCAGCTGCATCAGTCTTACAAAACCAAGATATGAGTTCAAGAAAATTACCTCGATGGATTGAGTCAGAAGATTCATCATGCCCTCTAAACGCTAAACCTTCCCCTAGAAGGTATCGAGCCACTTTTACAACTGTTGCTAACCGAGTACGATAATCATCCTCAATGCCAACAGTGTTAGTCGATAAGACATAATCTATGTTCTCTCTTTGATTAAGATATTGCTGAACTTTAATTCTACAATAAGCATGAGAACTTTCATTGGTTCCTTCATGGTCAACAAAGGCTTTTGGACCATCTTTCCAGTTGCTAAACCCAACTTTAGTAAAAGCATTTGATCCATTTTTATTTGTATTTGCAAACAAATAACAATGCAAACAATATGCTTTATCCTTGGCGACACTATACTCTAACCACTTAAACTTATCAAACCAAACACTTTGAAACCGTCTTTTTTATTGCCCGTCATTGTTTGTGGAAAGTTATGCACCAATGGTTGACAAGGACCTTTTGCTAAGTATCTTCTCCTTATGACATCTCTAATTTCCAACGGATAACTATTGATTGGTTTTCTTAATCCCGGATCAGCAACAATATCATCATCTGAAATCACACTTTCTTTCTCTATAGAAGAAGATACTACTTTTTCCTTGCCTTTATCATTTACAAATGCCAAATTCTTCTTTTCTCTAATGACAAATTTATCCATCTCAGGTCTCAAGATTACCTAATTAAATAATAAAATAACAAAATGAATATACATTACCATTTAACAAGTATTTAAATATCAATAAAAAATTAGGAATCTGCCTGGAAATTAGAATAAGGGAACAAATTAAAGTATTCGAAAAAAAATTAACAATATTCAAAATTTAAAAATTAACAAACAAATCTCTAAATTAAATTATTGAAATTGAATATACCTTGATAATGAGAGTCTCCTTATCTCTGAAGAAGAAGAATTGAAGAAGTAATTGAGTGTTAGAATAAGTGCCCTTCACTAGAGGGGGGGGTGAATAGTGAGGCACGAGAATGTTTATAAATTTTCGCGGAATAAAAATCATAGGGATAAAGTAAAGAACGTAAAAAGTAAAGAGCGTAAAAAAGCGTAAAGAGAGCACACCAAGATTTATACTGGTTCACCACAACGTGTGGCTAGTCCAGTCTCCCGAGAGACTCTCTCAAGCTACACTACTTCCGTTAAGCTTACGGGTGCTTAACAAACCGTTACAACCTGAGAACTCGAGTCCCACGAGCCTCAATACACTTGCTCGGAGATACCGCACTCCAAGACTTCAACTCGAAGGAATATGCCCTTCCTTCGTACAACCAAGGGAACAAACCTCCCTTAAAGTGTTCACAACACTTAACCACTCAAGAACAAAAACTCTATTAAAGAGTAGAATATGAGTAAACTAATTTAGTTCAAGAACACACTCACTTCCTCAAGAAATGGCTCTAAAAAGCTATGTAAAAAGTTTATGGAATGATGCAATGTAAAGCTATGAAATGTGTGAGGAATGGATGTAAAAAGTAGACCCAAGAGACCCCTTTTTATACCCAAAAACAAGGTGCAACGGTTGGGAGAAGATTGGAGTTGATTGGCTTGATTTGTGGAAATCAAATAAAAGTGGATCTNTTTGACTTTCCTTTAAAAATGGCTAACGGTCATCAAAACATCGATGTCTAGAAGTCTACATCGCTGTTGGGGTGTTTGACTTTCAAAAATGGAAAGATTTTGTCTTAAATAGCCCAACGGTCATTTGAAAACATCGCTGTTCAACCATGAACATCGCTGTTCAAAAACTTACTGCCCAGGGCTTCTGAAGGCCAACATCGCTGTTGGGATTTCCGACATGCATGTCGGGATGGTTTGCCAGAACCATGGTTTGGCAGCCAACGTCGAAAACCGATGTCAAAAACCAAAGTTCTCTAAAATGAAAACCAAGTGTTGGAAACTCTTATATAATGTATTTTAGGTAAAAACAAAGTATAAAAACGTAAAAACCACTTCATTAAGGTAAAAACCACGGCTAGCCAAGTTTATATCGTTCTACATGGTTTTCACCAAAAGACCAAAAACGAAAGGTGGTTTTTAACATGTTTTTGTTGGAGAACTATTTGGATATGCCCAGAAGAAAAACCAATCATAAAATCTTAAAAACCACTTGATTGATTTGGGCACCAAAAACCAACACCGATAACCGGCCTCGAATGCCGATAACCAACGCCGAAAAACAAAGGTTATGGTTTTTGAAAACTAATCATTTGGAAAACCTTTCAATGTGTCCAGAAGCATAAACCAAAGATAAAAACCCAAAAACCATTTGGTTAAAATCAATGCCAATAACTAATGCCGAAAACTGAACGCCATAGCCGAACGCCGATAACCGATGGTTATGGTTTTGGTTAAGCAAGAACCATAGGTATTAGAAACTTAAAAACCATTTATGAAAACAGTCATTTGATGCATGAAAAACATATTTTGTTTTGAGCCATGACGTAGAGAAATTGAATGAGCTTGTTACAATAAAGACCTAAGTATTTAGAATACGTCTTTCAAAGCGCCAATGTCGCCATCTTTAGCAACGTCAATGCCGTTCTAATGCTTTTTGTTTCTTCAAAGAACTTTTTCTATCTTTTCATTTTGTTCCATGTTCCCGACGGTTTGTCAATATCAAAACCTAAACGGAAACAAACATTGTCATTAGCAAAATGTCAAAGTGAAAATGTTTTCCAACATTGAGAACCGAAGAAGAAAAACCGTGAAGAATAGAAAAAAGGGCATTCCTTCACTTCTTTGGTTTGATGTATTAACAAGACTGATGATTATAGAAAATATACTCCGTTCTGGAAGACACTCACTCCCACACCAGAGAAAAACAGACACCCAAACCCTAATACAATACTGGAGATGGAAGCTACATTTCGTTCAGTGAAGTCAATTCTCTGATTGGGAATCAATACGAGGGTTCCCGATCTAACAAGCGAAAATTGTTATATTTCAAGTCATATAACGTCAAACGTAATTCTTTCGCTTGTTAGATCTTGCGTTCCTTCGTTAGAGAGTTAGGCTCTGATACCAATTGTTAGAATAAGTGCCCTTCACTAGAGGGGGGGGGGGTGAATAGTGAGGCACGAGAATGTTTATAAATTTTCGCGGAATAAAAATCGTAGGGATAAAGTAAAGAACGTAAAAAGTAAAGAGCGTAAAAAAGCGTAAAGAGAGCACACCAAGATTTATACTGGTTCACCACAACGTGTGGCTAGTCCAGTCTCCCGAGAGACTCTCTCGAGCTACACTACTTCCGTTAAGCTTACGGGTGCTTAACAAACCGTTACAACCTGAGAACTCGAGTCCCACGAGCCTCAATACACTTGCTCGGAGATACCGCACTCCAAGACTTCAACTCGAAGGAATATGCCCTTCCTTCGTACAACCAAGGGAACAAACCTCCCTTAAAGTGTTCACAACACTTAACCACTCAAGAACAAAAACTCTCTTAAAGAGTAGAATATGAGTAAACTAATTTAGATCAAGAACACACTCAATTCCTCAAGAAATGGCTCTAAAAAGCTATGTAAAAAGTTTATGGAATGATGCAATGTAAAGCTATGAAATGTGTGAGGAATGGATGTAAAAAGTAGACCCAAGAGACCCCTTTTTATACCCAAAAACAAGGTGCAACGGTTGGGA